CAAATATAATGAAGCCTACCATCAAATAAGCAGCCTAAACAAATCATGCACAAGATGATCCAATTGCACATACAACAGTTTTAACCAAGCAACATTTAATGCACATATTACAAAAGCCTAAATGAAATACAACCAGAACAAGCATGCACCTGAAACCTAAGCCCACGGCATTTGAAGATTTAAACACTCATTTATGTCAACTAGAAGTATACGAAACCAAACCAAACTGACCATTGAACCGCACTAAGGCAGTTTGGTTTGATTTTTCTCTTTCTTTATGCCTAAGCTGAGCCAAACCAATATAGATATGCAAAAAAATAAACTCTAAAATAATAATATTAATAAGAAATCCTAAAATATTGTAGGATAAATGATTTTTCATATCTAAAGTGACCTTTAAAAACTTTTGAAATGTATTATTAGTTAGATTGGATTCTTTTATGAATTTAAAATAGATTCATTCATTTTGCATATTAGTCGTGACATTGAAGTGTATTATTTAACAAATAAACTTTAAACGAGTATAGTGCAAAACTTAAAGGAGTTGGAAACTCGCTATCCGTAAACCCCCTGGCTACTTAGCAACTTAATTGCCAACTGGCAACCAAGAGAAACCATCATCCCTCAGCCATATACCAAATGATAAGAGCAGAAAAACAAAGAAATTATACTGCAACATACTTGGTAGTTACAACGACAAGCAAATGGCATCTATATACTAAAACTCAATGTTAAACCACCTGATCCCTTCTCGGAGAGATGACTTTCCAACGTCTTGTTAATTAAATGTTCCTGAAAGTTCTTCTGACACTCGGTCATGGTTGCATACAATATAATTTCTTTCTTCCGAGGGAGCATTAGCTCAACATCGGATTTCATTCTCCGAAGTAGAAATGGTCTCAGTATTGCATGCAGTTTTGCTACCACCTGCAGGTTTCAAATATCTATATATGACAAACTTATGCAACAAATAACAACATACAGGGTTGGAGAAAAAAACATCAAAGAATTACCAACCTGGGCCTTTCTATTCTCTTGTGTTTCTTCTTGTTCTTCAGCATGACTCTTTCCAGAGAGATCAAACCTGAACAAATTATTAGGAGCAAATCAGTCTTGAATATGGTAATAATAATTGATTGACCCCCTGCAACTACAGTCTCAAAATATGTGGTATTATTTATTTAACAAATTGCAGTACTTCCAGAGGCTATAAATTCACCACCATGTTCACAAATGGAAAAAACAAATCTTAAGATTATAAGCACCCATCTAAAGATAAAAAGGCATACTGACCATGACTCAAATTCTTCATTGGAGGAAAAAATATCTGGTAAAATAAAGTTCAACAACGACCAAAGCTCTGCCAAATTATTCTGCAGTGGTGTCCCAGTAAGAAGCAGTTTATTTTCAACAGTTATGTACTTCAATTCCTTCAGCAATTTGCATTTTGAGTTTTTCAGCCTATGCCCCTACAAGAAAAATATGTTTTAAAGACTAAGAGTGTCTAAAATTCATGAACTATATTTTATAAGAGACAGTAGAAGCATAGTCTAAATGGCTGACCTCATCAACGACAAGATATTTCCAATTGTAATGCCTCAAAACTTTTTTAGCATCACTCATTGCAATCTCATAAGAAGTAACCACTATGGGGAAGTTAGGTCCAATTGTTTTAGGCATGGACTTTCTTCGAATCTCTTCCCTTTGTTTTTTGTTACCATGATAAATAATAGCACTCACTGTGGGCACAAATCTATATAAGGAGACATAAAAACAAATGGAGAAAATAAGGTGACTAAACAATTTATTATTAAAAAATGTTAAGACCAAGTTAACACGAGAGACTACCTCAATATTTCATTTATCCAATTTGAAAGTGTGGAAAGAGGAGCAATTACTAAGTAAGGTCCATCCAGTCCCTTCCCTTTCAGATGTGCAAGGAAGCCAATGGTTTGAATTGTCTTACCAAGCCCCATTTGATCTGCAAGGATTCCATTCAGCCCATTCTGCCATAATGAGATTAACCATTTGACACCTTTGAGTTGGTAGGACTTCAATTTGCCACCAGTCAACAGAGGTACAAGTTCACTCTGCTCCTTCTCAATTCTTTCTTCCTCGGTCAAGTTCTCATCTTCACCGTGCTCACCTTCTTTTGATCTAGTCAGCATAGCTGCAACAGCTCTTTTTGCCTTCCTCTAGAAACATTTTTATCCCAGGTTAGAATTTATTTAAAAATATACCAATAGTTTGCAGTAATAAAGGATATTCAAGATTAAGTTCAATTAATAACACATTACTTGAGGTTAAAATTTCAAATATAAAAAGGATTTAAAACAGTACCCCAAGATGTTAAGACGTGAGAAGCACATAATTCTTACATTATTATAACGTGGAGCAGCTTTCCTCTTTGAACCACGCACATTACTTTTCTCAACAGATTTATTCTCTTCCTCCACTCCATTCTAGCAAAAAGTTGAAAACGATCTCAATGAGAGACAGAAAAGGCGCATAACTTTAAAATCTGTAAATTATAAAGCACATAGACATACAAATGTGATGTCATCCATTTTCTCCAGCAAAAATTCTGAGTACAACTGTGTTTGAGTGAGAAGTTCATCCAATTTGGTAAACTGATTGTCATTCAACTTTGCAGATTCTTTTGAATCCTCAAGTTTCTCGGTCTCCTCATCCTTAACCCGAGCTTCCAGCAATTTCTGTTCCTCCTCTGCCATTTCTTTTGATATAAGACTGGAATCCCCATTTTTTGCTTCCAAAATTATCTTTTCCTCTAACTTGATCTCATTTTCCCCATTACATATATCCTTCATGCAAAAGGGGGAAAAAAGTCACAAGACAATTTGGCGCAGCATTAAAAAAAACGGATACCAGTTCAGTAGGAATCGAATAAACTATTTGATATATTCCCTACTGACATGCAAACATAGCTCATTTGAACATGATGGCAAAAGAATGCACAAGAAAACAAACACGCAAGTGTTAGAGATCCATATGGAATCTTAAAATAGACTACATGTTTCCTTCCATTTAATTCAACATTGTCAGACGTTGGAGGTATCTCCACCATTTTTCAATGAATATCACCGCAAACATTACTGAATATCTAAACAAATTTGTTTTCAAGTGCCGACAAGTTAATAAGTGTTAGACCCAGGGAAATCTTTTCAGGGAAACATGAAAAATCTTCTATTTCAGCGTTGCGACAGAATATGATTGAATAAAAAAGTAAAAAGGAGAGTAAGGAAAATCATTTTTTCCATGCGGCTGTTTAGGAGCGTTCTAAAAGAAAAACGATAGATTAATCATTACACATTAAGATAATCATTTCCAGAAAGTTCTTCGTTCTTCTTTTACTAATAAATAATAATTTCAAGGACGGAATAATCCTTTTTATTAAGCACCATTTAAAAGTTCTTCTTGAAAGCAGGTAAAAACACGAAATCGACTCCTTTTTTCCTGCTAAATGTCCAGACGAGGTCTTTTGCCGTATCAAAAGAATCAAGAGCACAAAAAAAGAGTCAGAAGCCGGAGTGAAGAAAGTGAAAAAACCTCGTCTTCCAGAACCGAGGTCGGTGACTCTGCAGAATTATCAGCTCTTGGTTTCTCCTCGAGAGCCATTTCCAGCCCTAAAATGAGTATCAAACAGTGAACAAAGACCGGATTAAGCCAAAAATCAGAGCAAAACCACTTGAAAACACAAATAACCAAGTGATCTTCCTAAGAAGCTATAAACCGTGCGCCGAGTTGATTAATCTTGTGTACTGAACTTCCTACCGCTCAACAAACACAAAGACGAAAATCCGGAAGCAGAACGAACCAAATGCACGGTAGCAAATCGAAGAAACTTTAGTCCTGCAGTTGAGATTCACCGAGAAATGTAGAAATTTTTAGAGGGAAGCGACCCTAGAAAATGGATCGTCGTGAAGTTTGCGGAGAAGCCCCGCGTGCTGTTATACTGTTTCTTAAAGAATGTCTTTTTTTTTCCTTTGTTCAGGGTTTTAGGCGGGAAATGGAGAGACGTTTTGGACCCTGAAAAAGGAATTAATTACAAAAATACCTCCCGTACTCGTCTTATACACCTACCGGGTTAATTACCACAAAAAAAAAAAAAAAAAAAACC